TGTCCCACCCCAAATCAAGCTGCTTTGATGTAAGCACATCTCTTGCAGTGAATTTTCATCTTGAGACACCCAAAGGCGGGTAAGCCTCCATCCAGCAACCTGAAACTTTGTTTGGATTTTACAGTGACCTTTGGGATTTGGGATTTGAGGGAACAGTTATAAAATCGTGAAGACAAGGAATGAAGACTGGTCCAGTGTTGTGTTGGACACATTAGCATCAAAGGACTCCCATTTGCCCTTCTGACAGAACCCACTTCAAATCTGTTTCCAAAAAGAAGATTCACTTTCCATCATCCTTCATTCATAGTAGACATTCCGGTAGAGCTAGGGCACAGTAGAGGAAATAAATAGAATTTGGGGCAGTCTAGATGTATTTTATCTAATCCACAAGAGTAGATTCTTATTCTTTTACTAAATTTTAAGCAAAAAGACCTTGCCTAAGAAAAGGTACCTTGTGCCCTCTTCCTGGGGAAAGGTAAGGTTATTAATCGGGCCTGTCTTTGTGTTTGCACAATCATCAAAGACTCTTCCCGACCCTGCCCTTTACCACTTGCCCTAAGAAGAAGAGAAAACAAAAAGAATATAGTGTTAAGATTTGTTTTAAAAAATCATTCTTTAACATAAAAATAAATTCTCTAAGTTTGGAAAGAAGAAACCTACTTCTACTAGTTTGGGAGAGTTGAGGAAGAAGATGGAGGAAAGAGACAAATTAAATGAGCAATTAGTCAAAAGAATAGAAAGTCTTAAATTTCCAAGATGGCCTTATTTGGAATGGAGCTAGTTTCAGGACTGCTTGTGCCATCCTCTTAGATTCTTGTGTACAGACCTGCAAAACTGGAGGAGGCTGCTGCTGTCCTTGAGTGGAGTGGTCCAGCAGAAGGAGGTTCAGGCTAGCCTATTGTAAAGAGTTCCCACATCTGTTTTGGAAAGGCTGTAGAATTCTTTTAGGAGTTTGGCCTGGCAAATAAGTGTTCAGAATTTCTGAAAGTGCCTTCCTTTCAGGGCCTACTGACAAGCGGGACTTCCGTACATCTTGGGTCATATATTAGGTCTGTATTGGCTGTTGCCTCTGTAGCTCTGATTAAAAGAAAAGAAAACACTGCCAAGAGATTTGAAGAAAAATTCTAACCTCAAGGGAAATTCTACCCTAAAGTATTTCCATAATGAGATCTTTCCTCCCCACATCCTCATTAGTTTGTTTTGAGAGAGAGCTGTAAATGTTTCTAGAAGATCTGTGGAGAGGGAGCGGTGGGGGAATAACTTCATCAGTACAATTTTGAATCACCTGTAATTTCTTGAAGGTATTATGAGTTCTCAATTGATTACCTTCCTTCCCCGAATACTCATCAGGACGAATCCCTCATCTCCTGGTGTCTGCTCAGACATCACCTAATCAGTGCAGCTTTACTCTCCTCCTTCCCTTTCCTTATTTTTTTCTCAGTAGGATCCATCAGCATCTGACACACTGTATTTACTTGTTTGTTTGTTGTTTGTCACCCTTTGCTAGAAAGGAGGCTCTAAAAGAGGAAGGAGGTTTGCTTAGTGTGGAATGCTCAGCACCACTAGCACAGTGCCTGGCACATGGTGGGTCCTCAGTAAATACTTTGGAATATATCAGTATTCCAAAGTATTCCAAGTAGGGGAAACTGCCGCATATATTAAATGCTGTGGACGGGGAACAAAAAGCTGTGGTGTCAAGTATGTACATCACATTAAAAATTACCTTGAATAAGTAGACAATCTCATTCACACTCACGTAGGAGAAAAATTCAATTCGATTCAAGTTGGGAAGAGGGGAAAAGAGAGAGGGGAGAGAGGGGAGGGGGAGATTGCTGTGCTCCCACTTAATGCACACAATGTGGGGGTGTATGGCACAGCAGTGTAAAAAAATAAAATAAAATAACCTGTAGTAGATTTAGCATCAAATTGATGATTTTATAAATATGCAGGTCTCTATAGCATATTCTAGGGTAAGTAGTTTGGAAATTCATCTATCTATTTTAAGTTAATGTGAATTTAAGTAATACTGAAGAATTGCTAGAAATCAAGAAATGAAGCCTGGAGTGTGTTACACTTTTAAGCTCCAGGAGCCTATAATGATGGAGCTGGGCAAACTGGATGATTTCTAAGGTTCCTTTTAATTCTAAGTTACTAACGGAGAAAATGTTTAGAGTTTGGCAGGGAGGAAGGGGAAGAGAGAGAGAGAGGGAGAGAGAGAGAGAGAAAGAGAGAGGGAGAGAGAGAGAAAGAGAGAGAGAGGGAGAGAGAGAGAGACTGCATTGCTACATTTCGCCACAAGATGACAGTATCATCTTTATTAAAACCGAGTACAGTATTGTATTCCGGTACGTGGAGTAAATATAAATAAATGTAGAGTGTTCTTGAGGGACATAAATTATTTTAGTAAAGATATCATGTGTGAAGCATTCATTAATTTAGGTAAACTATGTGTCAAAAAGCTTTCTTTTGTAACACTTGGGAAATAGTTGAAAATATAAATTTATTATTCCTTCCCTTTCTTCCTTTTTTCTACATAGTCTTCCTCCTTTATTCATTTCCTTTTCTTTGTTTGTTTGTTTGTTTGTTTGTTTCTTTCTTTCTTTCTTTCTTTCTTTTCTTTCTTTCTTTCTTTTTTTTTGAGACAGAGCCTCAAGCTGTCCCCCTGGGTAGAGTGCCATGGCATCACAGCTCACAGCAACCTCCAACTCCTGGGCTCAAGCGAGTCTCCTGCCTCAGCCTCCCAAGTAGCTGGGACCACAGGTGCCCACCACAATGCCTGGCTATTTTTTGGTTGCAGCCGTCACTGTTTTGGCAGGCCCGGGCTGGATTCTACCCTACTACCTTAGGTGTATGTAGCTGGTGCCTTAGTCACTTGAGCTATAGGCGCCAAGCCACCTTTTCTTTCTTTCAAATTCTCACTTTATTACATCAAAGATTTCAAGTCAAACAAACAGAGATGTATAAGACAAAGCTTATATCTTCACCATTTTCTTTTTTAATTCCAACCCTCTGAAGTAACTAATGTTAATACTTTAAACTTTTTTTGATTCCTTCCTATATTCATAAACATATTTCTAATACATGCATATGCATGTATATGCATATGCACAGAAATATGTATTATATTTATTTTGAATTTTAAATTAATATCTGATCACCTGTTAGGTAATAAATTTAGATGTTTGAAAAAGTTTTCCATCTCTTCCTGTTGTAACAAATGACGACAATGATGATGACCACAATAGATACACACAGTGTGTACATAACCTACCTCTAAATGCACCCTGGTATCCATTTTTCTAATTTATTTATTTACTTATTTATTCACATATGTAGGGGATACAGGTACATTTTCATTACATGGATATATTATGTAGTGGTGACGTCTGGGCTTTTAGTGTAACCATCACTCCAACAATATACTGTAGCCAATAACTGTTCTCATCCCTCATGCCCCTCTTACCCTCTCATCTTCTGGTTTCACTCTCTCCCTGTGTTCACATTGATTAGCTCCCGTGAGAAAATATGCTACTGACTTTCTGTTTCTGAATAATTTCATTAGTATCATACTCTTCATTTTCTTTTTTTTTTTTTAAATATTTTATTTATTTATTTGCGGTGTTTGGCCGAGGCTGGGTTTGAACCCACCACCTCTGGCATATGGGACTGGTGCCCTTCCCTTTTGAGCCACAGGCGCCACCCCTCATACTCTTCATTTTCATCCATACTGCTACAAAAGAAATGATTTCATTCTTTTCTATGACTGAGTAGTATTCCATGGTATATACTATACCACATTCTCTTTATCCAATCACTGGTGATAGATACTTAGGTTGATTTCACAACTCAGCTATTGTGAATAGTGCTGGGATGAACATACAAGTTCAGGTATCTTTGACATTTTTATTTATTTTTATTTTGTCTTCATTCATTTTTTATTTGTACATATTCATGGGGTACAAGTGCAATTTTTTTTTGAGACAGAGTCTCGCTTGCACCCTCAGTAGAGTGCTATGGTGTCACAGCTAACGGCAACCTCAAACTCTTGGGCTTCAGTGATTCTCTTGCCTCAGCCTCCCAGATAGGTGGGACTATAGGTGCCTGCCACAATGCCTGACTGTTTTTAGAGTTGAGGTCTTGCTCTTGCTCAGCTGGTCTCGAACTTGTGAGCTCAGGCAATCTACCCACCTTAGTCTCCCAGAGTGCTTGGATTTTATGCCTGTAATCTCAGCCCCCCAAGTGCAATATGATACACTAATGTAATGTGGTGAAGTCAGGGCCTTTAGTGCATATATCACTGAAGTAACAATGCACATTGTATACACCCAGCAACCTCTCATCACTTCCACCCCCAGGTATTTATTATATAATAATATTTGGTAGATGCACAATAGTGGACTGCTGGATTGGATGGTAGTTCTATTTTTAGTTCTTTGAGGAATACATCTTGAGAAGAGAAACACTTAGCATGGGAAGATTGACCACTTTTGTTTTGTATTTTATTATTCTTCACATTGTCTGCTCTATTCTTTTTCAATCTTCATCAGAATCACTTGGACTAGAACTGTGGATTTATTAGTAGACAATGCTCCTGTGGAAAGAAGCCTAAAGTTACCCTGGCCAGAAAAGTGCTCCTCCCCTTGTGTTTCTTCTGGGTTTTGCATTACATTTGAGCTTCTCTCCCTTGCCCACGTGCAGGGCTTACCTTCCTTTTCTTTTTTTTTTTTTTAGACACAGAGTCTCACTTTGTCATCGGTGGTAGAGTGCTATGGTGTCATAGCTCACAGCGACCTCCAGCTCTTAGGCTTAGGCGATTCTCTTGTCTCAGCCTCCAGAGTAGCTGGGACTATAGGTGCATACCACAACACCTGGCTATTTTTTTGTTGCAGTTTGGCTGGGGCCGGGTTTGAACCTGCCACCTTCGGTATATGGGGCTGGCAGCCTACTCCCTGAGCCATAGGTGCTGCCTGAGGGTTTACCTTCTACAGACTCCAGTGGCTGAGAACCCAGGGATGCCGTGCCAGGTTCGCAGTGTGCTGCAACAGATGTGGAAATTTTTCCTCCTTTCTGTTACCCTGAAAATGGAAGGTAAGTCTCAACTTAATAGCAAATGCTGCTCGGAGTTTTCAAAATAATTTTCTTCCAGCTAAAGGATTGCAACTTTTGACATTTGTAATGAGTCTTTGGTATACCCATTTTCTTTGTGTAGTGCTAATTGTCCTCCTGTTACTGTTGCTGCTGCTACATCTCCCACCATTGATTTCTCCTCCTCAGTGGCAGCTCATTTGTGACCACATGGAAACTACTTTTTAAAAATATTTTAATTTTTAATTAAAATAATAACTGCATATATTTAAGAAAGATAAAGATATGGAAACTATTCTTTTTAATAATGATGTGTCTTGTTGTAGGCACTGCAGGACAAAGCATTGAGCAGCCAAGTGAGTTGACAGCTGTGGAAGGAGACTTTATCCAGGTCAACTGCACTTACCAGACATCTAGGTTCAATGGGCTGTCCTGGTACCAGCAATACAATGGCGGAACACCTGTATTTCTCTTTTACCATGTTCTGGATGGTTTGGAAGGGAAAGGCCGTTTTTCTTCATTCCTTAAACTCTCTGCTAGCTACAGTTACCTCCTTCTGAAGGAGCTCCAGATGAAAGACTCTGCCTCTTACCTCTGTGCTGTGAGAGACACAGTGACTATGACACCTCTTCAGCTGCAATAAAATTCAAGTGCAACCACAGCACTAAGCCCTGCTGTGAGTTGACTCTAAAGATTGGGAACTTTGGAGCCAGACTTCCTGGATTTCAGTTCACTGCTGTCTACCTGGGTGCTCTTAATCTAGTCATTATCTCTTTTGGTTCAGTTTCCTTATCTATAAAATGAGAATAATAATAACATCTACTTCACAGGGTTGTTGTGAGTGATGAATTGATATATATCTCTACATCTATCTATCAAATATTAACTCAGAGCGATGCTGGCAGATAATGAGATCTCTGTGAGTTTAGTTATTTCACTTGTAGTCTTAAACTTTTAGTCAGTGTCATGTGGCAGGGGTTCTGAGACTGGAACTCAGTATTTCTGTACCTTTGGTTGGTGGGAGGTAAAATTCTGAAAGCTATTTGTGTTGTGTGTTTTTGAGGCTACAAGATGGAGTTTATTTGGGGGGTAGGTTGTTGCTCTGGTGCTACTCATTTTTTGGAGGGAGACTCTGAACTTTGAAATTCAAATGCAAATGCTTCAGAATGAGATGTTAAGCATTCTGACTAATTATGTAAGGCTATGTTCATTATGTGCATCCTTAAGAAATACATGGGATCTTAAAATATGTTGGAGGCTTATAAGGCAGGCTAGAAATGAGGTATAAAGGCTTTACAGTTGGGGAGAATGGACATAACCAAGGGAACTATAGAAGATGAGAAAGAAGAGTAAACTTAAGCAATGTGGTGACAACTTTGGTGAGGGAAAGCCAGTAGGGGATTCCTACAGCAAGATCTCCAGGCATCCTCAAACTATGGTCTGTGGGCCACATGCCGCCTGCTGAGGACATTTATCTGGCCTGCCAGATGTTTTTGCCGCTGCTGCCTGTCTTGCTTAGCAGCTGACTTGTCCCAGGGCCTGCAGTCTGGCCCTCCAGTGGTCTGAAGGACAGTGAACTGGCCCCTGTTTAAAAAGTTTGAGGATACCTGATAGTCAATGGGCATAAAGAACAGTAAAAATATACAGCAAATTTTCAGATTTTCCTTTCTTACTTTGTAATTCCCTTGTGTTGTCTTCACATCTTTCACTGAAGTTTGTTAGATCCTATAGCCTACTGTCACCTAGGGTTACAGAATAAATGGTAATTGCTGTTGTTGGTTCTGTATGAGATAAAGGTGACCAGAGAGTGGAAGCTCAGATTTTAGGTTTCTGGAATATCAAAGTGAGGCCTTCAAGGGATGAAGCAAGATGGCGGACCAGAAGGATCATTCAGCCAGGCTGTCCTAGAATGACTGGTGAAAAAGAGAGAACCTAGCCATAGCTGGCACAGGGACCTTAGCCACAGTCATAGCTCAAGGAGCACAGTGAGGAGGTGGTGAGCTGGATATAGTGTATGATCTGGAGCAGTGGAAATCTGATGAATTAGGCAAGTGATTGTGACCAGCTGGAATTGGCTGGCTCCTACTGAGTTTTGGGATGGGAGGAAGCCTTTCTGGAATTTTCAGTTGTTGGGTGAAGCTGTGTGTTGAGTGGACAGCTTAGAAGAATTGGCAGACTGAAACAGTATACAGCAACCAGATTTGAGTGCTGGTTGGAGTGGATTTGCCATAGTTTTGGTAGCTGGCAGGGCAGCCATGTTGAGAAGGTCTCAGTGGCCAGGGGGCTGCCATTGTGAAAAGGTTGTGAGAAGGTCTTAGCAGGGGCCTAAAGCAAGGCTGTCTTAATTCCACCCCCAGGATCAGAACTCCACTCTTGGGACAGGCTGAGGGATTCCCACAACCCACAGGAACTGGAGTTGGGGGCACTGTGAGGCCTGCCCCTAAAGGATTCTTGTGAACTTTAAGATCTCAACCTGGCAATGTCTGAATGCTGAGGAAGCAATCAGGTAATCACTGAAGGCAACTAAGTTTGGAATAAGGACCATAAAGGTTGCTGGCTGTGCTGTCTCCTAAAAATCCTGCAGTGCCACCTGGTGTCTGGATGATATATTGCAACATATTGTCAGCGAGAGCAAGGACTGTTTATTTGGCTTTGCTTAGGTTGAGGCCTCTTCCAAACCTAAGCTTCAAGATAAGGTAATTTGAAGCAAAGGAGTCAGTGAGAAGGTAAAAGGAGGACAAGGAGGTAAATAAGAAGAAAGAATAAATGAGAAGGAACCAACAGAAAAATTCAGGGAACATGAAAAGCCAAAGTAGAGAAACTCCCCCAAGGGAACATGAGGCAGCTACTGCAGGAGACTCACCTACAAAGAGTTAATGGACTTGACACAAAGGGAATTTAAAATATGAATGATAAAGATAATAAAAGGAATGGATGAGAAAATAGAAAGACAGAAGACAAAGTCTGATGAGAGATGTAGAATATAGAAAGGATATGGCAGAGCTTAAGGAAATGAAGGAGACAATCAGGGAATGTAGAGATGCAGTAGAAGGTATCAAAATGGGTTAGACTGTGGAGAAGAAAGAACTTCAGAGCAAGAGAATAAAGTTTTTTAGTTAGCCCAGGTTGTTAAAAAGGCAGAAAAGAAGAGAGAGCAGAATAGGCTCTTAGAGAACTATGAGACTCCATGATGCATTCAAACATGTGAATAATAGGGATTATTAAAGGGGAAGAAGAGTGTCCCAAAGGAATGGAAGCCCTATTGGAGACTATCAAAAATGAAAACTTCCCAAGTTTTACTAAAGATTCCAACATACTCCTTTCAGATGGATATCATACCCCATGTCATCTAAGCTCAAACAGAGCCTCCCCAAAACACATTGTAATGAACCTGTCCAAAGTCAAGATGAAAGAAAAAAATTCCATAAGCAGCAGGAGTAAGCACCAACTGACCTACCGAGGCAGAGCCATTAGGATGACAGCAGACTTTTTAACTGAATCCTTCATAGCCAGAAGAGCATGGTCATCCACCTTCAACATTCTCTCTCTCTCTCTTTTTTTTTTTTTTTTGAGACAGAGTCTCACTGTGTTGCCCTCAATAGAGTGCTGTAGTGTTACAGCTCATAGCAACCTCAAACTCTTGGGCTTAAGCGATTCTCTTGCCTTAGCCTCCCAAGTAGCTTAGACTACAGGTGCCCGCCACAGTACCTGGCTGTTTTTTTGCTAAAGTTGTAATTGTTGTCTAGCTGGCCTGGGCTGGGTTTGAACCCACCAGCCTTGGTGTATGTGACTGGCGCTGTAACCACTGTGCTACAGGCACTGAGCCCACTATCAACATTCTTAAACAAAAACAATTTTCAGCCCAGAATTCTGTATCCTGCTAAACTAAGCTTCAAAATTGATGGAGAAATCAAATCTTTTGTGGATATACAAGCATTGAGGAAATTCACCACAATAAGACCAACTCTACAGGAAATACTTAGAAGTATTTTCTGCACTGACCATCACAATAGACCGCCAGCAAAGTAAACACCCAGAAACTAAAGATCAAAAGTTAGCTTCCACAATGGTGTAAAGGATAAAACTACACAATGGACTCTCACAAAATAAGATGAATGGAACTCCACCACCCTTATTAATTCTCTCAAAAATATCAATGGACTGAATTCACCACTGAAGAGGCACAGGCTGGCTGATTGGATAAAAAAGCAGAAGCCATTCATATGCTGTCTCCAGGAGATACACCTAGCCTTGAAGGACAAATCAAGACTCAAGGTTAAGGGATGGAAAACTGCATTTCAATCAAATGGAAATCAGAAGAAAGGAGGGGTTGCCATCTTATTTTCAGATACAAGCAGATTTAAAGCCACTAAGGTTAAGAAAGACAAAGATGGTCACTTTATACAGGTCAAATGAACAATACAATAAGAAGACATTTGAATTTTAAATATTTATGCACCCAACTTAAATGCTCCCAGATTTACGAAACAGACCTTGATGGGTCTGAGCAATTTGATATCCTATAACACCATAATAGTTGGGGACTTAACACCCCTCTGACAGAACTGGACAGATCCTCTAAACAGAAACTAAACAAAGATACAAAGGACTTATATGGACCCTAGAACAAATGGGATTAATAGACATATACAGAATACACCATCCCAAAGCTAAAGAATATACATTTTTCTCATCAGCCCATGGTACATACTCCCAAATCAACCACATCCTATGATACAAATCAAACCTCAGAAAAATTAAAAGAATAGAAATTATACCTTGTCTCTTCTCAGACCACAAGGCATTAAAGGTGGAATTCAACTCCCAAGAAGAACACTCATCCCCACACAAAGACTTGGAAATTAAACACCCTTATGCTGAATGATAGTTGGGTTCAGGAAGAGATAAAAGAGGAAATTATTAAATTTCTTGAACATAACAACAATGAAGAAACAAGATACACCAAAAGCAGCCTTAAGAGGGAATTTTTTTTTTTTTTGAGACAGAGCCTCAAGCTATCACCCTGGGTAGAGTGCTGTGGCATCACAGCTCACAGCAACCTCCAACTCTTGGGCTCAAGTGATTCTCCTGCCTCTGCCTCCCAAGTAGCTGGGACTACAGGCACCTGCCACAACACCCAGCTATTTTTTGGTTGCAGACATCATTGTTGTTTAGCAGGCCCCAGCTGGATTCGAACCTGCCAGCTCAGGTGTATATGGCTGGTGCCTTAGCTGCTTAAGCCACAGGTGCTGAGCCCTTAAGAGGGAATTTTATAGCATTAGATGCCTATATTCGAAAACCAGAAAGAGAGCACATCAACAAACTCATGAACCATTTTATAGAGTTAGAAAAAGAGCAATCTAATCCCAAACCCAGCAGAAGAAAAAAAAATAACCAAAATTAAATCAGAGACAAATGAAATTGAAAACAAAAGAATCATTCAGAAAATTAACAAAACAAAATATTGGTTTTTAGAAAAAAATAAATAAAATCAATGAACCCTTGGCCAGATTAACTTGAAACAGAAAAGTAAAATCTCTAATAACCTCAATCAGAAATGATAAAGGGGAAATAACAACAGATGCCACAGAGATATAAGAGATCATCTCCCAGTATTACAAGAAACTCCATGCCCAGAAATTT